ATGGGGCAGCAGGAGACAGCTGATTATGAAAGTCACTGCCAAGTGCACGGGCGAGTGCTGTGTTGTAAGCTGGACAGTCGCCGGGAGGAGCGCAACAGCTCTCAGTTCTCACCTGGGCATACCTGCCAGCAAGGGCAGGCCAGGGAGGGGGGGAAGAGAGTGCCAGGGACACAGAGGTCTGCACAGCCCCTGCTTGCTTGTGTCATCGACACACAAGCAGAACGCAGCCGCGTCAACCGCCCTCCCTCAGCCTCCAAAGATCCTGAGTGAGCTCCCTCGGGGCGCAGGGGCGGCACCAGGAGCCTGAATTAGAAACCCGGTTCCAGGAGGCCAGCAAGGTACACCAGTTTAGAACAAGTATCTGCTTGACTTGAACCACTAAACAGCGGCACTATCTGATAATTATTTTCTAATGATATGTCTTTAGACCTATCTTCCCACACAACAATTAGCTCTGGCATGTTTAAAACCCTGGGAGAGTATTTGGAGACATAAAGGACCAGAAGGCAAGTCAACAAGAATAAATTTGTAAAAGGATCAGGAGTTCTAGCCCAGGAGCACCCACCACGGCAGCATAAAACCCTGGATTTGTGCATGTTTTGGGGGTCACAAGATACAYTGAATAGCAGGTAAGGTTAGAGCTATACTGTGTGCATCCGCCTGCTACAAAGTAACCTTAAAAATGTGGGCAAGGTGATGTAAATGCTCAGAAATACTCTTTGTGTTCTGTTCTCTTTCTGGATTTTTCTACTGCTTACAGCATTTATTCCTTGCAAAGTATGCAACAACACACATGTGAATTAGCAACACAAAAGAGAAGTTGGCTTAGCCTTTAGGTCTCTATTAGGAAAACCCTGGGTTCAATTTAGCCTATTGCCCAGAGAAAAATTTTTCCAGACTCTAGTTCTATATGTCATTTCTCTTTATAAATATGCGTTTGCATAGGAAGCAATCCTTTGTAAGTTGTTTGTGCAAGAAAATGAATTGGTGCTTTTTTATTTCAATGTAAATAAAATGAGCTGTAATAACCCCCAATTAGCACATTAAAATAAGTTGAAGATTTGTTTTATCATYTCATTGTAGAGGAAAAAAAAAGGCAGCAAAGAGAGCCTCATATTAGTGACAAAAACAGAACCAGTTGTTTGCCTTGAAGAGCAGAGAAAATCTAATTTAAAACTCTCTGCGAATCTTTGATAATTAATTTCACACCAAACACGCCATTAGAAGGTCTATAAAACATCTGATCATTTACAAAAAAACCAAACCAATGATTTTCCCCAAAACAAGAATGTCGACAATAAAAATTTAATATGCGTAATGAGATTAGGAGGGGAACAAAGCCAAATCAAAAGTTTTGACCTGGCTTTTTTCCCTCAAAGGTGGTGACTTCCGGTGTGGCCTTGAACTTGATAAGGGAAGGGGCTGATCATGACCTTTTAAGTGGCCAAAATGACTGAAAGTCTGGGAATGATCAGAAAGCTAGGTGGGCATGGGGTGGTGTCCGTGCATGTGTTTGATCATGTGTCTTGGGTGTGGTGTGAGCGTGCTTGGGCATGTGCATGAAGAGCACGCAGAGTTTGCATGGGGCCGGTGTGTGCTTGCACACGTGTGTGTGAGGCTGTGTCTGTGGTGAGGTGCTTGGAGAAAGGAATAAGGAGGGGTGAGTTAGGTCCTGTTTGTGTAGGAACCAGAGCTAGCAACTTCTCTGTGGGTACTTGCTAAATCAGTTATTAATTACTAATTAACTAAGTATTATTAGTTATTAGTCTCTAATCTTTATTAGACTAGTCCTAGATGACAGGYGCTCTTCATAACATCCTGGGGTCCTGACTTTCACCACCCCTGGGTAGATCCTCCTGCCACACAGTGTGGGTGGGTGGGTGAGGCAGGCGCTCCAGGGCATGAGCCCCGGCTGCATGGTCATGTCCAGGATGAAGTGAAGGACTTCTCAGGTTTACTTAAGACTGAAATGCTGCAAAAATTGCCCCATGGACTTTCCCTGCTTAGCTACAGCCACCATGAAACCCTTGGCCAGGGTCCCAGCCTCCGCTGTGTTCTGTGGGGGAATGACCAGAGGTGGGCTGCCCACCTGAGACGCCTCCTTACCTGCCTGAGTCCAAGCAGAAGTGCCTGGTCCCCTTGCTGGTGCCAAGTATCCTTGTTGGACAGTGCTGTCCTTGCATGTCTTTCCTGGAAGGAGCCACCTCTACGGGCAAACAGGAGCCCTGGCTGAAAACCAGCACAGGGTCAGTGCACGGCCACTTCCTGGCTGTCCCTCCTGGGCAGAGCTCTCTGGCTTTCACCTGCAGGTGGCCTGCTCAGGTGCCAGGGTGCTGCTGGCTGGCAAGGCCCTGCCCTGCAGAGAGGTCACTGGAGCCCCAGGGAACAGGGCGTCCAAGGTCAAGCCTTAGCATGGCAGGACGTAGGGCAAGCCGGGGACGTGGGGGGAAAGACAGACGGACGGGAGCTTCGCGACGCCCCTTAGCAGGACGAGCCGTGACTTTCTGTTGGTAGTTTTGTTTTGTCTTGTGCCAGTTAAAGACAAGAATTCCTAGGAGAGCGAGCGCTGGTCGAGGCTGGGCCCTGGGCCCGGCCTTGGCTGCGGGAGCATCCTCCCCGGGGCAAACCCGGGCACTTGGTCACAAGGGGTTGGCCTTCACCCTTATTGCTGCCCGAGCCTCCTCCAGGACACTGATGCTGTCACTGTAGAGGGTCCGCCCCGGGGAGTGGGTGCCCAGGGCTGCCTTCCTTGACCCAGAGGGCCTCCTCCCTGCGGAAACGCCTCCACCCGCCTCGGTCCTGCTGCCGCCGCCTCGCCCTCCTGAGTTGGGCTGTCCTTCCGACCCCAGTGTCTCCCCACCTCTGCTATCCCGACCCCGTCCCCTGGCAGCGTCTGACCTACCCTACAGTTGGTGCCCAGCAAGCTCCAAAGAAAATCTCGGACTCACGGTACCAGCAAAGCTGCTGGCCTTCGTGCCCCACCCTGCCCTGCCCTGGACGGTCCTGCTGCCTGGGCTGCCTCGGTCGGTCAGCCCGTCCTCCTGGGGCACGTCCTTCCACCTGGCCCTGCCCCGGGCACCCTTCTCAGCCCTCATCACGGCTTTGGCTTCCCTGGTGGTCACTGCTCCCCTCTCCCTTCCTCACCTCCGCCGATGATGTCCCCACCTCACTCATTCCTGTCCCTTGAGAAGTCACCTCCGTGCAGGAGGGAGCTCTGCAAGGTGCCATGTCTCGCTCTGCCCTCAACACTTGGAATAATCCCTGCCGCGTGGTCAGTGCCCGCTGGTGCCCACTGATGGATGAAGAGACTTGTGGGAGACTGCCTTGGCTCGTCCGGCACGGGTGAGTACCGCGCGTGCTGGTCCATTCACCTGCGTTTTGATTTAGTAAACAAGGGAAAGGCGATTGGTGATTCTCATCCTCTGTTTTAAAAATCTGAATGCATTTGAAAGGAGTGCTCTGCCGCGTGCGGCTGGCTAGCATTAGATCTTCCTCCAGCGACGTTCCACGGGAGTCAGGCCAGACTATCAGGTGGCCACTGAACAAGAAAATGAAAACCCGGAATAGGGCAAAAGTCACCCCGCCGTCCCTCCAGGGCCCGCGTGCTCTGGATGCGTATTGAGCCTCGCCGTGCCGAGTTTCCGCTGAGCGCTTTGTGTGTATTAAATTGCTAATTCTCACGGTCATGGTGTTAGTTTTCTACAGCTGCTGGAATCAATGACCACAAACTTGGTGGCTTAAATGTGCAAATTCATTCTCCTCTTTCTGGAAGCCAGAAGCCAGAATCCTGGTGTTGTGGTGGGGCAGGGGCGGGGCGGGGGCCGCGTTTTGCCTGTATGGGGAGGACTTCCTGCCTCTCCTGCGTTGGTGACTGCCAGTGTCCTGGGCTCCTGGCTGCATCCCTGCAGTCTCTGTCTTCATGGCCACCCTCCATCTATGTTTCCTACAAGGACAATGTCCCTGGATGAGGGCCATCTGGAGGTCCTAAACTCACTGACATTTGCAAAGACCATTTTCCTACCTGGAGTCACACTCAGAGTTTTGACATGGACACCTCTGGGTGCATTTCAGGTTCTCCATGACCCACCATGCCGCAGTCCCTACCACGTCCTGCACAGGTCAGCAGCAGGACGGGACTGGGGAAGGGGAGCAGCCCAAGGCCAACCTCCAGCCAGCACAGAAGGAGCCTGAGCCTGGCTCCAACCGCCTGCTGTCCCCAGCACACCACAGACCYGGGAGCCGGGCCTCCTCCCCTGCTCCAGGGCCAGCGTGAGCCTCATCTGCTGCCGACGGCGTCGAATGTCACCAAAGGATCTGTAGAGCTCAGCAGCCAGCTAGGGATGGGCCTGATCGGTCTGAGGAGCTGAGAGCCCAGTGGGCGGCCCCGAGAGGGCCTGTCCATTCTCCCTCCTCCCCGGGCCGTCCCGATGGAGATCCCACCCACCCAGGCGGGGAGCACAGGGGACGCCCTGACCACAGAGACAGCCAAGCGCCGGCAACACTCTCCCTCTCGGGCTCCGTGGTGGGGCACTGGCCTGCACCCAGGGGACCCTGGGTTCACCCCCAGCGCCGCAAAAGAATGAGAACAAAGGCTCTTTCTGTCTGCGGCTAGAGGCACCACACCCACCCCATGCATCTGGACACACGCTGGCTCCCGATCGGAGGCTGCCAAGTGGAGGCCACGCCGGGAAGGCCGGAAGCAGCCCCTATGGCCCTGGCATCTGGTCTTGTCCGTCAACAACACAGTGCTGTTTAACACAGGGCGACTGCGGGTCACCACCAGGGTCGAGGGCTCTGGTGAAAGGCCGTCTTATTTTAGAACTGGAAAGGATGTGGACACCACCAAGTTCAAGGCCCTCATTTAGAAGCCGGCCATTCAAGGCCCAGTGCTCCCGAGAGACCTCGCCCGGGGCACAGAGTCACTCATCCAGCTGGCAGCTCAGTGTCCACTGAGTGACCCGCTGGCACTGCTCGCTTCCTGCCCAGGCTACATCCTGCACAGGGACGGGGACATTTCTTCCCAGCAGAGGAGACGGCTCCTGGTGGGGACCGGAGGAGGTGCTTCTCTAGCAAACACACCAAGTTCTGGGCTCTCCTCTCGACCTGCGCCACTCGGAGCCTGGGGCTCTCGTGGTCCCCGACTGCAGCCCTGACATTTCCCACCCGCAGTCTTCCAAGGACACTGTGGTTTTAAGGAGCAGGCCTCTGTCTGGAGGCTGTTTGCAGGAAACTGAACCCCTCTGCACCCACAGAAGCAGACGGACACTGCCCTGGGGAGTCTGTGGTGCACCTCCTTCCTGACTCTGGGGAGGGGCCGCCTCAGAAAGGCCGGTGATTTCAGCAAGAAAGAGGACATCTGTCCATCCAGGACACCTGTGAGGAGGCACTGAGGAGCAGAGTGTGCAGGGGTGGGGTTCGGGGGTTTTCTGGGGGAGCTGTTGATGAGCAGGGCCTGGGGGAACTTGCAGGAATGACTTAGACACTGGAGAATGGGAGCTCGCGGTGCAGGACAGCAGTAGAATCCAGAAATGGAAAGACCCGTGCGTATGGGTGCCCTGCGGCTGCTGCGACAGATCACACCCTGAGGGCAAGGCCAACGCTGTTCACTTGCCCTGCCAGATCCCAAAGCAGGCCCTTCTCAGGGCCACTCATTCCAGCCTCTGGGGACGCCAGGGTCCCCTGACTGTGACCACCTCACTCCCACCTCCACCCGGTGGTCACTCCTGCCCTCCTTGTAGGAGGACATTGTGATGGCCTTTGTGTTCCCCACAGGGTCCCGGATGATGTCCGCATCTCAAGACCCTCAGCTTGACCACATCTGCCAAGACTCTGTCTCCAAGTCGGGAGCATTCTCCAGTTCCAGGAATCAGGTCTGGATTGATATCCTGGGGCCATGGCTCAGCACCGAGGGAGGGGACTCTGGGTGTTGGGTTCTGGGGGGTCTGGTCTGCCCCACTGAGAACATGGGGTGTGGGCCACATTCCTGAACCTTTCCTGAGCAGCCACCCAACCTGCCCCAGCACGCAAACCCCCCGGGGCCAGGTGGAACACCACCGCCCTGGGCCTACCCGTGTGTGCCGTCCACTCCGCCACGTGCGGTCCAGTCAGTCACCTCCAAGTCACCTCCGAGGACAGAAAAGAAACCTTTCTCCCGGGACATTTTTGAATCCAAAGGTTATTTTCCTGCAGCCACAGCAGTCCTAGAGAGCTGCACGGGGTGGCTCTGGGCTGGGGCCGGCTGGCGGGAGCCCCAGGCTCACTGCTGGCTGGTGAGGGGCTCACCCGGCGAGTCACCCTCTGGCAGAACACTGTGTCCTCAGGCTTTTTCTCTGTCCACCCTGGGACGGGCCAGCTGCAGGTTTGAGCCTGGGCCAGGGCCTTGACCATCCCCGGTGCTAACAAAGCTGTTGAGAGAGTTGTTGGAAGCCCTGCCGAGACACCATTCCAGAGCTGCCCTGCCCTGAGCTGAGCACCTCAGACCAAACCCTGGTCCCCAATGGACCTGGGCCCCATGTGTCTCTCTTGCTGTCTGTCAGGAGGCCGTGGCCCTCCTCTTGCAGGTTTGGGCTGACCGTCCCTTGTGCTTCTCCCTATCGCAAGCCCCGCTGGCCCGTCCCCTGCAGGGAGAGTGCCTTCTACTGTGTTGGCAGTGATTCCAGCCACGGGCCCCACCAGGCAAACCTCTGTGCCAGGCCTCGTGACCCCACTGAGTGCGCACGCCCATCCTGTGCGTGGTGACCCTGTCCCCTGTCCTACAGGGCAAGCCAAGGAGGCCCCAGAAGCCCACCCGCCCACTGGCTGCATGGGTAGAAGCAGCAGCCGAGCCAGGCAGCCTGTCCCTGGTTGCTTGCTTAGCCCCCACCTTCTGTAGCCTCACAGATTCATCCCGACCCAGCAATACGGGGAGTAAAGAGGCCAGCCCACGCGGATCCCCTAGCAGCCCCACACTGAGCCTGCTCATTGAAAACTGATGGCATCACCAGTTCACCTGGTGACACTGGGGGCTTTGGTCTCCATCGGGACGGCCACCCCACTCCGTTAGCTGGTGTCTGCCCAGTGACGAATAGGCAGATGTACCGAGAAGGAGATGTCCTGAGCGTCCCCCTTCCCCACTGTGGGCCTTTGATCTCAGGCCCTTCCCACCTGCCATCATGACCCTGCGTGGGTCTCTGTCCCCTGAGTTCAGTCGAGGAAGCTGAGATGACAAGGAAGAGTTCTGCACGTGGGTGCCTGGGCTCCTCCCAGGATACGAAGAAGGGTCTTCGGGCTGGAAATTTGAATAAAGAGATGTTCTCCTTCTAATTTAATTGCATCTCTGCCRGTAATTCAGAAACCATCATCGGCACATACATTTCTGAAAGGCTTTTCAAAGAATTTAAGCCCACCATTTAAAATTCTCATTATGCTAGGAAATAGTCCCTTTGGGGCCCAACGGTTTTCTCTTTGGTTGCACAATCCCTCGAGGTACGGATTTCAATTTAGAGCTTTCCACTTGGAAACCGGGGCGCGCAGCCGCGCAGGTGGCTCCCCCCTGCACCGGGCACGCTCGCCTTACAGGTCCACGAGCCAGAGAGCATTCATCAAACTTCCGCAGTGTAATGAGTCCTTGCTGCTGGGATTGAACGCAACAGGTAGAGAGAACGGCATTTATGCATATTTATTGGCCAATCTCTCCGTTTGCTGAGGACTATTAGTACAACTGGTGACAAACTTTCCGTTGATTTATATGAGTCTCTACAAAAGCAGAGACCCACGCCGTGCCCAAGCCATGATTGCGTTTCTTGGGAGACTCTCCCTTTCAAATGATCTTGTTAGATATTGTTAGGAATTGATACATTTGCATACCATGAATGTTAAAACTCAGAAAATACTCAGCCTCCAATTAGCCCCATCGAGTCTTTCCCTAATTAATCAGTCACGACCCAGCAGCTCCAGGTGTGTTCCCCYGGCTGAGCATTAGTCTTGATGACCCGCCAGTCAGCCCACGTGGTCCCTCCAGGGGGATGGAGACTAAGAACACTTCGGGGACTCAGGCTGAGGTCGAGTTGTGAATCSTTTGGACAGCTGATGATTAAATTATTCCCAGTTCTGTCTTTGCTTCTTGACACATAAAACTTCAGAAATTGCTCAGGGCCCTGAAAACTCCAAGCCTCTCACTGATGCACCGGGTGGGAAGGGAACGAGTGCCCTTCTCTGGCTCCTGCTGAGTGCACACCCAGGCCTCGGTGGGGGGGGGAAGCCCCCTCTGCAAGCCAGATGCACTTCTGGGGGAGAAGCTAACGTCCAGAATGGGTGGGGCAGGTTCAGAGATGGGGACCCGGAAGGAAGAGTCAGGAAACAGAGAACCTTCACCTCCCTCCTCTCCCAAGTGAAGCCGCTAGAAGACAAGCACATGGAGGAGACGGGATCCCCTGTCCCTAGACCTCAGTGCTCCTGTCTAAAGGAGGACAGAAGATGCCCCAGGAGGTGAGGGGCACAGCCCCGTGCCTCCCACTGCACCCGGACCACAGCCACGTTGCTCGCAGCCACTCAGGGCACCGCCACGTGGCCAGAGCCTTCCTCCCCCCACGGAGTGAGCCCCAGGCGACTCCGAGGCCCCCTTCTAAAGGCCTCTGGCATTCAGAGCCGCCCTGGAGGGGGCAGGACCCCAGGCTCTCCAGCTGGATCTGGTGATCAGGGCTTTGGTCTTAGCTAATTGCGCTGTTTCAGGAAACGGAGAGCCGAGCAGATGGACTAATTGGTCACTGCTTCCCAGAGCCCGGCTAATGAATGAGCTGTCCCCCAGCTAGGCATTGGAATGACAGGCCCAGAACCCACCCCAGCTCCCACCAGCTCCATAATTAGTGGCTCCAGCCCCGGGGCTCGGCAGTTTGGAGGGCTCCAAGTTCATTAAGAGTTTAAATAACTCCATTTGTGGGATGTGCCTTTGAGTTTGTGATCACCTCCCTTACATTTCAAAACGGGGCGGGAGAGGGTAGTGACCAGGAAAGTGAACTCAGCAGGGGCACTTGGGAGTTGAACCTGAATATGTCCCCAGCCACTCTCCAGGACCTGAAGGTGACAGCCAGGGCCTGAGCCCTCATAGCCGGCCGAGGCACAGAAGCAGGAGCCAGGGAGGGCGAGGAGGAGGATGAGAAGGTGCCTTTCCACAGGGGTCCCCAGGAGTCCAGCTCTTTACCTAGAATTGTCCCCCAGCCCCCCAGCAGCTTCCATTAGGACCTTCAGTGATGGAGGGAGCCGTGGGACAAGTGCTCAGTCTTTGGCCCATCTGCAGGGAGACACTATCCATATCTTCTAATGTGTTTAGTTCAGACATTTCATTAAGTGGAAAATTGTCAGCAGGATTCAGGGGAAAAGTGCTTCTGGATGTCGTAATGGAGAAGGCTTGGTTTCAAATGCACCACAGTAAATACCTCCATGTCTTGAATTTTCCATCAAGGGAGACGGATTCTCACTGGCTTAAACTTCCCAGGCATTGAAGACGGGCGATGTAAACCAGTTTCTAATGAAATCTGCAAATAAAATTTCAAGTGGGGAGAGCCTACCTTGCAGAGTACAAATTTCCTGAGCTTCCTGCTTTGGGTTTGATTTTTGGCTTTTCCCAGCTCTGACTTGAGGTGCTTTGATCTCCTTTCCAACAGGAAAGGGACAGCGTGGGAAGCAGCCACAGCAAGTTCCCTGGGGCCACTTCTGTGCAGGTATCGGCTGCCACGGGCCTCAGCCTCGGGCCCCTGCAGGGGTGGGTCCTCCAGGTGAGCCCTGCTCCTCCTGATCTTGGACACCTGCCCTCACTTCACGACTCTGCCAGGGTCCGAGTTGACCTGCTTTAATTCTCAACCCCCCATGTGTGAAAGGAGCCCAGCATGGAGGACAAAATCTGGGGTGCCCGAGACGGAGCCTGTTCCCCCTCAGGAGAGCCCCATGCAGGCCCTTGGGGGCCTTSCTCGATGCCAGCACCCCGATGCTCCTGGGCACACCACCGTGCCTGGGCTGCACCTCTGGGACCCCCTGGGGAAAGGCCGCACTGTGATCCCAGTGCAGGTCAGGGGACAAGGGTCAAGGTCTAGATCAAGGTTAACATGGAGAAACATGGCCAGGAAGTGCCCCGTGCTGCCTCTTTTCCCTGTGCCYGCACCATTTTATCTTAAGAGCAGATTTGACCTGAAAGGTGTCCAGGTGGCTAGACTCAGGCACAGCCTGGGAGAGGGAGGGAGGCCTGACTGGCTGGCCCCGGGCCAGGGGCTCTAGGGGTCTGGAGTCAGCCTCTGAGCTGACTCTGAGCTCCACCAGGAAGAGGCTCTGGGCATGGGACAGGGGTGGACTTGCCTGGTCCGGCCACAGGGAGGCTGAAGACAGTGAGAAGCAGGAGGCTGCCCTGGAGAAGGGCCGACTGGGCACAGCAACAAAGGGAAGCAGTATCCAGGGGTGCTGGGGCTGTGAGGCTCCAGGAGAGGAGGGGCCGCCAAACCTCCCATGAGCACTGGAGGCAGGAGCTGGGCCTGGGGAGGGTGCTCCCTGAAGGTCATGTGGAGGACAAGCTGGCCAGGAGTCTTGCATCCRTTGGAATGTTTGCACAGATCTTAAAATATGAATGTATTTCTCCGTTTGCATATGGCCCCTGCTTCCGTGAAATGTGATTAAAATTCATGTCTTGGCCTCGCCTCTCTGGTCAGGTATGGGATGGGAGCCCGTGCCAAGGAGACCAATGGCTTGCCCGATACGGCAGTTCCCGTGATTTAGGGTGATTACGACCGGGCTGTAATGAGTGCATATTAAGCTCTCCTTCAAAGCCTAGAGAACATTTGATTCATAAACAAATTACTCTGAGCTGTAATGCAGGAGAAAGAAATAGCAGCTAATTTAACCAGTGAATCAATGGYGAGACAGCACCGCATGGATCAGGCGATCGCAAGCCTAATGGAGAGGATGGAGGTAATAACCAGAGGCCAGAGTCTCCTGAGGCTGACCCAGCCCCGCGGGCCTCGCACTGGACTCCAGGCCCGGCTGTGGGGAGGCGGCAGCAGTGGGGCCCAGCTGTGAAGAACTGCTTTGTCTGGGAAGAGGTGGGGAGGAAAGGCAGGGGCAGCTGGAGTGGCCTCCGGTCCAGCAGATGCCTGCCCCCGACAAGCCCGAGGGGGGAACGTYGGCCACTCGTGCCCTGGGAAGAGCTGGCACTGGGGTCAGCCAGAGGCGAGTGCAGAGCCAGGCTCCCTCCTGTCACTCGGGACGATGGACAAAGGACGGCCCTTCTGAGCCCCGGGTTTGTTTCTGGAGGATGGACAGAAGGCCTGCTCTGCAGAGCTCGTGCCCCCCGAGCCTCGCCGGGGGTGAGCGCGGGCTCAGAGCCTGGACGAGCCACCAGAACGGCCTCCGGAAGGTAGTGAAGACCTGCGTGCCTCAGGGTCTGGCAAACACCGGTGACAGGCCACCCCGGGCACAGTGAGCGGTGGCCTGGGGCTGTGCCTCACGACCTTGTCCTGGGGTCTGAACAGGGGCCATGGTGCCCTGCCCGGGAGCCGCTGCAGGGGCCGCTCCCTGCTCCCCCAGACGCCCCTCTTCTCGATGGAAGCCCGGGCTACGCTCTCCCGGAGCCGTCTCAGCCGTCCAAGGCGGACCCCGGAGCTCCTCGGGAAGCACGGCYGGGATCCCCCTTCCCACCCCCACAGCTGGGGTGGAGGGGTCCAGGCAGCCACTCCCAGGTGTCCCAGGGTGCGAGAGTGCTCCAGATGACGGGCAGGGGAGGGAGGGCTCCCTGCCTGCGGCCCCCACTCACCTGTGCGGATGGCCGGATGGCCGCGGGAGCTGGGCTCGGAGGCACCCCMGCCCTACCTGGCCAGCTCACCTGATTTCTCTTGCACACAACTTCCTTGCTCCGCCTACCTCCCAAGTCCAACACGCCCAGTCTGAACCTGGCTGGACTTGCCGGCCTGGGCACCCCTGTCCTCTGACCTGTCCATCATGGTTGGACACCCCACTTCTCATTTCAGGAGTGGGGGAGCTCTGAGCTCTTCCTGACAGCATTATGCAAATACCCACTTGCCAAAAATAGGCCTCTCGTGGCAGAAGGGCACCCCAAGACGTCCCCTCCCATTTGCTCAGCCTCTAAATCAAGGTTTTATGATGCCAGAGAGTTTGCCCAGTCACCAGTCTAGTGATTTTTATGGGATTCATTTTTCTGAAGGGAAAGAGGGAGGTGAGAGAGGAGCCATTAGCCTGCCATTTTGGAGGATAAACACAGAGCCAAAATAGGAAAT